TCCTGAATAGGCGGGCTGGAAGAGGTAATGGGATGGAGGCGGGCCAATAAACTGAAGCCCCATCCAAGCAAGACTGAGGTGTTGCTGCTTAATGAGAGAGCTGCTCGAGGACAGAAGAGTCAGCCTGCCCTGGAGGCCGTGTTGCACTCCTACTGAAGGACCATAACTTTGGGGTGCTACTGGATCCCAACCTTCATTTGGAGGATCAGGTCTCCCCTGTAGCATGTAGCACCTTTTATCCACACTGGCTGGTTCTGATCACATCCAGGTTAGATTACTTTAATGCACACACCATGGGGGGCTGCCTCCAAAAATGGTTCAGAAATTTCAATCAGTTGAAAATATGGGACCTGGGCAACTGTTTGGAGTTGGTTATGGAGACTGTATCACCCGTGTGCTGAAGATTTATCACTGGCTACCTATCTGTTTTTGAGCACAGTTCAAAGCGCTGGTTCTTACCTTTAAGGCCCTAAACAACTTGGACCATCTCCTCCCGTACTACCCAGCCTAGCAGTTAAGATCTGGTTCTCAAGCCCTGGTCTCTATGCCTCCACACTCAGAGGTGAGGCAGGTGGTGTTTAGAGAGATTTAGAGAGTTTAGAGATTTTCTGTGGTGGCACTTGACCTTTGGGAATGGCATCCACCCCCAGTAGGTTTGCATGACATCTAGAACATAAGAGAAGCCAATGTTGGATCAGGCCAATGGCCCATCCAGTCAACACTCTGTCACACAGTGGCCAAAAATACCAGGTGCCATCAGGAGGTCCAGGACACTAGAAGCCCTCCCACTGTTGCCCCCCCCCCGCACCAAGAATACAGAGCATCACTTGCCCCAGCCTGAGAGTTCCTATCTATACCTTGTGGCTAGGACCTCTGCTCCATATGTTTATTATCTAATTCCCTCTTGAAGTTGTCCATGCTTTTAGCCACCACCACCTCCTGTGGCAGTGAATTCCATGTGTTAATCACTTTTTGGGTGAAGAAGTACTTCCTTTTATCTGTTCTAGCCCGACTGCTCAGCAATTTCATTGAGTGCCCACGAGTTCTTGTATTGTAAGAAAGGGAGAAAAGTACTTCTTTCTCGACCTGCTCTATCCCATGCATAATCTTATAAATTTTGATCATGTCACCCCTCAGTCATCGTTTCTCCAAGCTAAAGAGCCCCAAGTGTTTTAACCTTTCTTCACAGGGAAAGTGTTCTAACTCTTTTTATCATTCTAGTTGCCCTTTTCCCAATGCTTTTTTTTTCTTTCTTTCCTGTTTTACTTTCTTTTAGGTGCCAGGCTAAAACACATCTTTTTTTCCCAGGCAAGAGTTTTATCATAACAGCTTGTCAATAGGCTGCTCTTTTTAAATATTTTATGCTGTTTATGTTCTAATGGCTTATTTATACTATGGTTTTTAATTGTAAGTTGCCTCTACAAGGACTCTGAAGAGGCAGCATAGAATTGTTCTAAATAAATATGTCTCTCTTAGTCATCTCTTTTTCTAAACTGAAAAGTCCCAGACTCTTCAGCCTTTCCCCATAGGGAACCCCGTAATCATCTTGGTTGCCCTCTTCTGTACTTTTTCCAGCTCTGCAATGTCCTTTTTGAGATATGGTGACCAGAACTGCACATAGTATTCCAAATGAGGCTGCACCATAGATCTATACAAGGGCATTATAATATTGGCCAATTTTTTTCTTATCCCTTTCCTAATAATCCCCAGTACAGAATGCCATTTTCATTGCTATGCCATGCTGGGGTGACATTTTCATTGACCCACTAAGATGAACAAGAGTTGGTTTTTTATACCCCGCTTTTCTTTACCCAAAGGAGTCTCAAAGTGGCTTACAATCACCTTCCCTTCCTCTCCCCACAACAGGCACCTTGTGAGGTAGGTAAGGCTGAGAGAATTCTGACACAAGGTCACCCAGCTGGCTTCATTGGAGGAGTGGGGAATCAAACCCAGGTCTCCAGAGACCGCTGCTGTTAACCACTACACCACTGGCTCTCCATACTGGATCTCTTTCTCTCTCAGCCTCAACCAGTTCAGACCCTATTAGCATATACTTGATGGGATTTTTTGTTGCATTGTGCATCACTTTATGCTTACCTAAAGCTTCATTCACCATATCGTTTCAGGCTAACCCAAATTGTGGAAATCCTCTTAGTGCTCTTCACAGTCAGCCTTGAGTTTTACTATCCTGAATAATTTTGTGCCATCTGCAAACCTGGCCACTACAGTCCCAGATCATTTATGAAATAACAGTGAGAACTGTCCATTTATTCCTAGTCCACGCTTCCTACCCTTTCACTAATTTTTAACCCATAAAAAGGCCCATTTTCTCATCCTGTGACTGCTAAGCTTATTCAGGAGTCTTTGGCGAGGTACGTTCTCAAAAGCCTTTTGAAAGTCCAAGTACAGAATGTCTACTCGGTCACCATCATCTACATGTTTGTACACTTTCTCACAGAACTCCAAAATGTTGGTAAGTCAGGACTCCCATTTGCAGGAGCCATGCTGATTTTCCCTCCATAGGCTTTGTTCCTCTATGTGCCTAATAGTTTCACATTGACTGGGTAAACATGTGCTCACGTCATGCTGTAGGAATGACATTCCCAGACATAATAAATGACTGTGCACTGGAACAGCTGGTCTAGATCCAGCCATAGGGTTAGTGCTCTTAGATCTGGTTCTGAGTGAGGCTCATATGAAATGTAGATCTTGTTATACTAACTGGGAGCAGTGACCATATCTGAAGAAGGGGTTCCACCTTCAGGATAATGTCCCTCTACCTCAGACTGACACACTCCAACTATGAGACCCTGAACCTCCACAACAGCAGAAAAGATGTCAGCACTGGAGAAGGACTGTTCTAGTAGAGACCCGAAGGTCTTGTTCACATGCCTCTCTCTTCCTCAGCTTCTCCAAGTCAGCAATCCGTAGCTTCATGGGAATGAACCTTTTCCCTGAGAGCCTCCGTACATCGAGCACACACCCACAATTTCTGCCCAGTGGATAATCATGCATGTGGCCCTCCCTGCAAAACAATGGATTGCCCCCACTCCCCTGCCGGCTTTTCTGCCTTCATAAAATATCACTGTATCTAAAAGTAAACAGAGGGCCAGCTGCAGAGATCTAGTTTGATGGGTTTCTAATGGAAGCTGGTAAATAATCGCATCCGAAGCTTTGCAGACCTTTCAAAAGTTTCAAAGGAACAGCCAGCACTTTTAATTGTGCTTGGACAGCCAATGTAGATCTTTCAGCAAGGCAAGCATATACCAGTGCTGACCAGTGTTCCCTCTAAGCTGAGTTAAGTGTGAGCTAGCTCACAGTTTTTTAGCCTCCAGCTCACACATTTTTGTCTTGGCTCAGGAAGGATGGCTCCAGAGCAAACTGATTTATGCAGTAGCCCAGTCGCTCGCTCACAACTTTAATGCCAGTAGCTCACAAAGTAGAACTTTTGCTCACAAGACTGCGCGGCTTAGAGGGAACATTGGTGCTGACTCACTTTGGAAAGTTTTTATAATAACTTGCATGGCAAAATAACAGACAAGACCCAAATCTATTGCAAAAATGTAGCAAAAAAGTTCCTTTATTAATTAAAACAGTTGGTTTTTTAAAAAGAAAAGGCACTTTATTAGTATAAAAACACGTTTTTCTAATACCACTGGGGGGAAAAAGGTAGCAAACTCAACTCACTAATACAAAAAACCAAAAGACCATATACGAACGTGCTAACATAGCATGGTACACAAAAATATATTTCCTAGTAAATAACAAAACACAGATTTGGCTGCAGTACACAGGTTGCCACTACTAATTAATTTCACTAGACTAGAGTTACCCAAACTCCACAACAATTACAGAAAACCGCAATATGCACTATAACCCTGTTACAGGGCACTCCATCACTGGTTACATTTAAGTTGAACTTTTAAATATAAACCTCACTGGGCTGTTTCCTGCACTCTGGTCCCTATCCAACATGCATGTGGTACAAATATCTGTAGTGCTTTGTTTGCTGAGTGAGTCTTTTAGAATTTTGAAAGTCTGATTATATTATCTGCATCAAAGGTTGAGCTAAATTCTCCCAAGAACAAGTAGCACACAAAACAAAGAAACAAAATGTATTAGTATATAAAGATCTCCCCCACCCCCAGTTCCATTTCTCCCGGTAGTGAAACAGGCTGATACATCTAGGCTTCCATGGAATGTATACATAAACTGGCCTGCTATTACTTTTTAAAGTTTTCTAACAGGCACAAAATCCAAGCCATAGTTTTTCATTTCTAGTCAGTGTTGCTGCATACAAGAATCATAAGGCTATTTGATGCAGACTCGTCACAATTCAGCTTGGAATTGCAGTATGATATGACTGAAGGTCATTATTAGGGGAGATGGACTATAGTCAAGTTGACTTAGCACAAGGGTTAACTCGGTACAACATTTTTCTGTGCGCAGAAATGTTCTGTGGAATCCAACCAATTTTTTCACATTTACTATTTTATTTTTTTAAAATGTACAGGCCACTTTTCCATTTCAAAGTCTTCTTCGCTTTTAGCAGTTGAAAAGAGCAAGTGTCCAATAGCACCTTAAAGACTAACAAAATTTGTGGCAAGGTATGATCTTTCATGAGTCACTGGTCATTTCTTCAGATATCCAAAGAAGTGAGCAGTGACTCATGAAACCTCATAGCCTGCCACAAATTTTTGTTAGTCTTTAAGGTGCTACTGGACTCTTTACTCATTTCTACTGCTACAGACAGACTAATACGGCTACTCATCTCACTTTTGTGGCAGTGGGTTTGGAGTTTTTTCCTTTTTTTTTTTTTTGGTCAGCAGTAGACAATTGTGAGAGACTGAAATGTTCCCTCTTTTGGTTTGGGAACTGTGATGGACTGTACTTTAAAATCTTATAAGTGCTGTGTAAACAAGTAAAGGACTGTGAAGGGTTAATTCCTCACAAAGCCAGAGGAATTGCCCAAGGTCATCCAGCCAGCTGCAAGTGGAGGAGTGGGGAATCAAACCAGGTTCTCCCAGATTAGAGTCCCTGCACTTAACCACTACAGCAAACCTAGTAACAGTGGCTCCTATTCAATGTGAGCTGAAGCTGGAATTCCTGTTCCTTGCCTTCGAAAGCTCCCTGTGGCTGGTCACCTTCTTGTTGAGTTCTTATGACTTGCATAGGCATCGTGGTGGCTGCAGATCCAATTCCTTTGTATGTAGCAACGTGAAGAAACTGCGTAGCCAGAGTTCAGAAAGGCACAATCTCCTCCTTTTCCTTTCACCTCCAGCCTGCAACAGAAGCACGACACAGGCCAAGTCAGGCTGGCCATTTGCTTTTTCATGGGCAGAAGCATTCCAAGCCACACAAGCAAAGAACCGAATCATTTTTTAAAAATGGAGTTCCGTTCCAACTTGACAGCATTTCCTGATCCCCCAGTTCAGACATTAAAGGGACAGCCAAATAAAACAGCTGTTTAAGTGGCACCTCAAAGACCAACAAAATTTCTTCCAGCAGAAGCATTTAAGGAGAGCCAACAGCCCAGCAGAATCAGAAGGCAAAAGATCTTCATAAAGTGAAGCAGTGATGATTTACAAGCTAAAAAGCTCCTCCATGAGCAGACCAATAAGCATCTCTCTCTGTACACAGAAGACCAGCTGATAAGGTAGATGAGCTCATATTTGCTTTACTCCCCTGCAAGCTATTTGGTTCTGTACAACTTTCATTCACAAGGGAGTATTCAGATACTGAATACCCACACCTGCAGCCCAGATTGGTACAATCCAGGAAAGGCTTTACCAACTGACAGGGCTAAATTTATGACCAGTTTATACATTCAGCATAACTGTGATCAAAATGGGAAGGAAGGAAGGAAGAGAGGGAGGGAGGGCAGCAACAAAAATAGCCAGAAAAGCAGAGAGGAGGGGTGAACATTCACCATGCCCAGAGATACAGGGTGGCCCATGAAGGCCTGGACTTCCATTGGTCACCTCAATGAATGTCCCAGTCCCCCCTCCAGCCCCCCAGCAAAAACTGTTCTACTCTGTGCCTGGGAACATCTGACATTGTCACCATCAGTTTCCTTGGGTGAACTGTGTGAAGGGGCTGCACTACCCCCTTCTGTCCACTGGGGCCCAGCAGACCACATGTGCTATGAGTGTCTGTGAGCCAAACTAAATATGAAGAACTTGAGCCCACCACTCAGTTCTCTGTCGCCATTTTAAAATGCTGTGAGGACCTAGTCCATATTGGGCCAACAGCATGAACCTCCTCCTCCATGCCTTTTCAAGTGCTACTAGAACTGCAGGGGGCACGTGAAAAGGCACAGGGAGGGACCGCTGAGTTTCATGGCAAACTCAGGAAGGCCACAAATGTCTGGCTCTGTGCTACCCTGAGCCTTGGCCCTGCCCTGCTGGGAGGAAGGGAAGGTGCTCATGGGCTCCTTGCAGAGGGGACGCTTCAGACTCACAAACACCAGCTCCGGCTGGGAAATATCTGGAGATTTTGGGTGTTTGGGGAGGGGGAGGAGCTTCAATGGGGTATAATGCCGTTGAGTCCACCTTCCAAAGGGGCCATTTTTTCCAGGTGAGCTGATCTCTTTAATCCCAGGAGATCTTCAGTCACTACTTGGAGGTTGGCAACCCTATGGTTGTGATTAAAGTGTGTAATTTGCTGCTAAAGGATGTAGTGATGGCCACAGAAATAAACAGCTTTAGAAGGGGATTAGATAGATTCATGGAGGAGAGGTCTATCAATGGCTATTAGCCATGGTGACTGAGGGGAACCTCCACATTCAGAGGCACTAAGCCTCGGAATCCCAGAGTGAGGAGGCAACATCAGGGGAAGGCCTTGGCCTCTATGCCCTGTTGTGGGACAACCAGTGGCTGGGTGACTCAGGCTGAGCAGGCTGAAGTTAAACCCGGCGAAGACGGAGGTCCTGTGCTTGAGTCGGACCGGATCGGGGTTGGGGCTCCCACTTCCAACCTTCGATGGGGCACCTTTGGTGCCAGCTTCAGAGGTTAGGAGCTTGGGAGTGCTTCTGGACTCTACCTTAACGATGGAGGCCCAGGTGGCGGCCACTGCCAAATCGGCCTTTTATAATCTCTGGCTGATACGGCAGTTCGTTCCTTTCCTTGACCGCAATGACCTAGCTACAATGATCCATGCGATGGTCACCTTGAGGCTAGACTACTGCAACGCTCTCTACATGGGGCTGCCTTTGTCGCAAATCCGGAAGCTACAGCTGGTGCAGAATGCTGCGGCCAGGTTGCTGGTGGGCGTCCCTTGCTGGGAGCACACCCAACCTGTGCTGAAAGCGCTGCACTGGCTGCCTATAGCATACCGGATTCGCTTCAAAGTGCTGGTGCTTACCTTTAAAGCCCTACATGGCCAGGGTCCAACATACCTGAGGGACCGCATTTCCCCATATATTCCCCAAAGAGCACTTTGGTCGGGGTCACAACACCGGCTGGTGACCCCGGGCCCTAAGGAGGCCAAGCTTGTGGCAACAAGGGCCAGGTCTTTTTCAGTGGCGGCTCCTACCTGGTGGAATGAGCTCCCGGAGGAGATCAGGGCCCTGCGGGACCTTGTGCAGTTCCGCAGGGCCTGCAAGACTGAGCTCTTCTGCCAGGCTTACGAGTAGGAGCCGCCACGGCCACTTTCACCACCGCTCCCTTAAAGAGAGAGACCGCCGGGGGGGTTGGGCAACATCTTTCCATTACCCTAGCCTTCCCTTCTGCTACGCAAGATGTTAGGAGTTTTATATGTGCATCTGCTGAAATCGATTTTAATCTGTTTTAATTTTTGTATACTGTATGCACTTAGTGCTCTATGTGAGCTGCCCTGAGCCCGTTTGTGGGGAGGGCGAAGTATAAATGCAATAAAATAAATAAATAAACAAACAAATAATTTGGAACGAGGCAGTTGAACATATATCTCTGTTATAAATAAAAGTCGAATGGTGGTGGCACTTCTCTAGAACACGCCACACGCTCTGGAATTGGTTGGCACCGTGGTGTGTCACTCACATGGCGTCTCTCTCCATTGGCTGTGCTGCTGCCTGCGTGGGTGTCATCCCGCCCACAGAGGCAGCGACCAGCCTTTTGCCCTCAGTTTCCTTTGAGCCGCCGGACATGCCGGGTGCTCCACTGGCCAGAGGCCCTTGCTTGCCCTGCAGGCCCCAGATGGGGCCATGCCACCGCGGCGGCCAGGAGCCGCCGCCGGCCAAGAAGAGAGCCAGACTGACATCCAGTGGCTCCGCCCGGCTGCCTGGAAAGGCGCCGGGGGGTGGCCGAGTGTGGAGGCGGCAGCAACCTGTTCCCTCGCTGTGCGGTCTGCGGATGAGGGGAGATGGCGTCGTGCCACCGGGCCTGAGGCTGGGCAGAGAGCCAGCCCCGGCCTGTCCCGTTGCCCCCCCGGTAAGCAGGGGGATGAGGTTGTGGGCCTTGGCCCGCCGGGCCAGGGGTGACAAAGACAGATGAGGCCAGGCAGCTTGGCCCGTCGGGGCTTCGACAACGCAGCAGGAGAGCCAAGGAGATGGGGCCGGGGAAGGAGACGGGGCCTGCTGCTGCCTGCCTGAGCTGCCACCCATTGCATGGAGACGGGCGAGCCCGGCCGGCTTGCCCCACTGGGACCGGGGAGCCCTTGGAAGCCCTCCCCGTGGCTTCTCCTGGCCTCCCACCGAGGTGGGTGAGTGGGAGAAGCCGCCCAGAGCCCCCACCCTCTCCTGGCCCACGCGCCACAGCAGGCGAGCCAGGAAGGGACTAGGAAGCCCTTTGAAGCCCTCCCCGTGGCTTCTCCTGCCCTCCCGCCAATGCGGGTGAGTGGGAGAAGGTGCCCAGAGGCCCCTTCACCCCCTCCTGGCTCGTGCACCACGGCAGGCGAGCCAGCCAGGGACCGGGAGCCCTTGAGAGCCCTCCCCGTGGGTTCTCCTGCCCTCCCGCTGAAGCAAGCAAGCGGGAGAAGCTGCCCAGAGGCCCACCCCACCCCCTCCTGGCAGGCGAGCCATGGGGGGGCAGCGCTACTGCTGCAGGACCCCACGCTCACCCGGGACCTATTCCTAGTGGCCATTGTATTCCTTACCACAATGAGCCTTTCTCCTAGTGTATATATAATTTTTAACTGAAGTGAACAACATAAATAGTATGGATCAAAAAAGATGACTGACTCTGGAATTTAATGAGATGACTTGCTGAGGATAAATAGAATAAATAAACTAAATGGACTACTGTATTTCATTATAAGTGTGCTTAGCTATCAGGATGTTATGTGAAAAACCGAAGGGATGGTTATCGGGTCTCCTTGGGAGTTTATCAAAACAGCTGCATAGCCGCTACAAGATGCAGGACTAGAAGAGGAAGAAGAACAATTGGTTTTTATACTCTGCATTTGCCTGCCTTAATGAGACTCAAAGCAGCTTACAATCACCTTCCCTTCCTCTCCCCACAACAGGCACTTTGTGAGTTCTGTGGGAACTGCGAATGGCCCAAGGTCACCCAGCAGGCTTCATCCGGAGGAGGAGTGGGGAATCAAACCCAGCTCTCCAGGCTGGAGGCCACTGCTACACTATGCTGCCTCTCAGACTCTGACTAATATGTTCAAGACTGTGGTCTAGATCAGGGATGTCGAACTCATTTGTTATGAGGACCGGATGTGACATAAATGAGACCTTGTTGGGCCAGGCCATGTGTGTCATAAAATGTACTGCCAGGTAGCGGAGATATAAACTTTATAAAGGACACAGACAAACACAATTAAAGATTAATTTCCCTGCCACAGGAAGTGGTGGCGGCTACAAGCATGGATGGCTTCAAAAGGGAATTAGATAAGCCTATGGAGCAGAGGTCCATCAGTGGCTATTAGCCACAAGGTATAGATAGGGGCTCTGGGGCAAATGATGCTCTGTCTTCTTGGTGCTTGGGGGGGGGGGTCAACAGTGGGAGGGCTTCTAATGTCCTGGCCCCACTGCTGGACCTCCTGATGGCACTGGTATTTCTGGCCACTGTGTGAGACAGAGTGTTGGACTGGATGGGCCTTTGGCCTGATCCAACATTGGCGTCTCTTATGTTCTTATTTTTTTAAACTTTAAAAAAGAATGCTTAAAACACTAGCACTCTTACAATAAGTTTATTTAACAGTCTCTGATAACTGACACCTCTTGCTCTGAATTACTGCATCCAAATGTCTGTGCTGTAGCAATCTTGAGTATACACTGTCCAGTTGCACCCAGGAGAGCCCTGGCATAAGAGCCCAACAAAACACACACACACTGTAGCAAGGCACACAAAAGCTCATACCTTGAACAAACCTTTGTTGGTCTTAAAGGAGCCTGGTATTTCTCCCATGCGATTGAGGCAGCCCAGCAAAGCAAGCTCTCCCTTGTTCCCTCACTCCTTTCAGGGAGGAGCCTCAGCCAGTTCTTTACCAGACTCTCTCAATCGCACAGGAGAGGCTTGCCTATCTATCTCTCCTGTGCGATTGAGAGAGACTGGTAAAGCAAGCTGTGATGTGGCGGCAGCAGCAGAACTGGAAAACGAAGCAGGAAACAGCCATGTCCTTGCAGGCCGGATTGGGGCCCTCCGAAGGCCTGATCCAGCCCACAGGCCACATGTTTGATACCCCTGGTCTAGATTGTTTAAATTTAGCCAAAAATGGTTATTAGGTACTTCTACAACTTTGGTTCTTCTACAAAGCCCTCTCCCCGCTATTTCAGCTTAACCCCCCCCCCCCCAGTCCATCTTCCTCCAATACCACTTTGAGGATTTTGGCTCAAGTGGTTAAGACGCTGAACTGCAGGCTGTGGAAGGTCAGTAGTTCAGCAGTTCAAGACCCGGATGCCGGGGTGAGCTCCCGTCTCTAGTTCCAGCTCCTGCCAACCTAGCAGTTCGAAAGCAAGAAATTGCAAGTAGATAAATAGGTACCACTTCGGTGGGAAGGTAACAGCGCTCCGTGCGCCTTGGTGTTTAGTCATGCCGGCCACATGACCACGGAAACGTCTTCGGACAGCGCTGGCTCTTCAGCTTTGAAACGGAGATGAGCACCGCAACCCTAGAGTCGGATTCGACTGGCTTTCAAGCAAGGGAACCTTTATTATAATAAAACCTGTACCTAAATAACATATTACTTGATCTTAATCCCAAGCAAACACAGACAACTGTAGACTTTATTCCCTCCCTCATACAATTCTGATATTCACTGAGAAGAACACCAAATCTGTCAACTGCCAGGTGGCGCCCATTTCACAATTCTTGTCTCAGAGTGCTGAAAGGGAGAAGAACAAAGACTCACGTGCCGTTTAATTCCGTCCCATCTGCCCATTTCCAATTGTGGGCGGCGTCCTTCTGGAGGCCAATCCAGTGATCGGTAGAGCACTTGTAACGCATAATGAATGCCTTTGATGCACACAAAATCAGGGTTACAATAATGTCTTCAGAGATGCACACAAAATCAGAGTTACAATAATATCTTCAGAAAGTTTTATTTTCTATCCTCTTACGCAGACAGCTAAACATATTATCTAATACTGATCACTGCCCTTCCCCCACTCATGTAGATCAAAAAATTCAAAAAGGGTGGTCATCCAGGGATAGGACAGATTTTTCTACACGCCTGTTTAACTAAAAGCTAGGCTTATTCAGAAGGATATATTCGAAGTGGTTAGTACAATCTTCTGAGATCCATACATCATACAGCGGCAAAAGGCTGTGGCTGGTTATGACCCTTAAAGCCCTTCAACGATCTAGGACCCTCATATCTGAAGGACTGTCTCCTTTCCATATGTTCATACAGTACACCCTAAAGCATTTTACAACATGCATCTTCTGACTGGGTGGTTGACATGATCACTTGTCCATGTGACAATTATATGTGGGTAAAACAAAAAGGAAACTTAGAGTGCTCATTGGGGAACATAAACATAGTATCTTACATAAAAACAAAACAGGTGCACCAATGGGACTACATTTTTTAAGAACATAATCATGCCCCCAATTGATTTTTTTTTCTTTTGGGCTGTATGTATAAATCTAATTCCCAAGTATGCCCCCTATCTTCAGATATCTAAACAGATGTTTCAGCAAACTTAGAGGACCCCCTATGTTCACAGAAAAATTTGACAATAAAAAAACATTGGGGGTGGGGTTATTCTCCCCCTGTGTAGCCTGCCCAAGGCAGATTTTTCCACTAGGCCTCAGGCAATGCTAACTCACCAGGACATAAACCCTGCAGAGCACGCTAACCAGTCCCTGTAAACAGGCACAGTTGCCCCTCTAAAACAGATTTAAGATTAGCCCTCTCAAAACACTGGGCTCACTTGGGTTACTTGTTCTTTCTGAAAGACCAAGCTGAGCACAATTGGAAACATAACAAAGAAAATTCTTTGTTAAAAAATTCTTTAGTTCCAAATAAAACAGAAAAAAATCTCTTCAGTGAATCACACTGCAGCCAGCGTTAATAGCTTTAAGGCAGATAAGCAATGACAAACAAAGCATCAAGCGGTCGTAGATAAAAAAATAAACAAAACTCCTTACTAACTTCTTCTGTTCTCTAGGCATAAACTATTATCCTAACAGACAAAATGACAGATTAAAAATATGCCCAAAAGGCAACACTGAAGCCATTTTCTGTGACCAAGTTATTGGATTGTGAGTCTGGCCTAATAATTTACTACCCAAACAAAACACACACAAAAACGTGCTGATTAATCATTCCAGTTTACTTGAGAACAGATTTTCTCCAAGAATGACCTTGGAGGCAAGAACTGCCTGCCTCCCTTAACAAGCTACAGGTGGTATTTTCCAGGAATTTTACCCTTGCCTATCAGGTTTTAGCATAAAATTCCTGGTCTTTACACCACCACCACCCGATAAAAAAGTGTCTGCATACCTGCACTTAGCTTTAATGCCCACTTAACCTCAACCAGGGCCAGGGCCTTTTCTGCCCTGGCTCCCACCTGGTGGAATGTGCTCCCAAGTGAGATCAGGGCCCTGCAGGACATGTTACAATCCAAGGGACCTGCAAAACAGGATGTTCTGCCAGGCCTTTGGTTGAGGAGGTCGATATTTCCACCATCTTTGTCTCCCCTGCCCATGGTGGGCCTACAGATGCCTTTTGTTGTTGTTGTTCAGTCGCACAGTCGAGACCGACTCTTCGCGACCCCATGGACCAGATCACGCCAGGCCTTCCGGTCTTCCACCGTCCTCTGAAGTTTGCTCAACTTCATGTTCGTTGCATCTATGACACTGTCTAACCATCTCATCCTTTGCCGTCCCCGTCTTCTTTGACCTTCAATAGATGCCTACCACCCTGCTAACGTCTAACAGGATGTGTATTGGCTGCTCTTGGGTAATGTGATGTTTTTTAGCTGCAACCCCGTTTTATCTAATTGGTTTTTAATTATAGTTGCTGTATTTTATTTCTGTTGTGAGCTGCCCTGAGCCCATCATGGGATAGAGTGGGATATAAGTGCAACAAACAAACAGTCCTGGTGGCTCCTGCACAAAGCAGTTCCGGGCGAGCTGCCAAAAAGGGGGGAGGGGGCTCAGCACGCTGCTTGGAGCAGTTCCAGGTGAGCTGGAGGAAGGAGGAAAGAGTCTGCTGGCTCACTGGGAATGCTCGAGATGAGCTACGGGCGGACGGGCAGGGGGGAGTCTGCTGGCTCACCTGGAGCTGCTCCAAGTGAACCACAGAGAGAGGGGTAGGGAAGAATCTGCTGGGAAGATTCGTCAGGGATCCTGGAGGTTTTTTGCCATCTTCTGGGCATGGAGCAGGAGTCACTAGGGGTGGAAGTACTTGTGAATCTCCTGCATTGTGCAGGGCGTTAGACTAGATGACCTTGGAGGTCCCTTCCAACTCTATAATTCTATGAAGAGGTGAAGAAACAAAGGAGAGGGGAAAAGTCCTCTCCCTGCAAGTTTCTTGAGGGCCCCCCCCCCCCACTTGTATAAATCTGATAGCCAGAACAATAAGATTCTTTTTAGAAGGGAAGCAGAATGGATTCTTACGCTGACAACCTTAGTACCACATATTCTGGCTGGCTTTCATAAACAAATGCAGAGTGAGAACACAATATTTTTTCAAAGCTAGTTTAGTGGGAGCATCACTGCTTCTATAGTTCACAGTTCAGTATAGGGTGTTCCTTTTCTTTGTATTCACTCTATTAAATAGTTTTCAAAATTAATAGGTTTGGCGTTCTCGTTTTACATGTCTGCAATCATTGTTATAACATTATTCTAAGTTTTTAGCAATATTTTTGGTGGTAGCTCTTGATAATTAACTGATCTTGGTACAAGCGCAGAAGTTCTCTTTTTTATCATAATTTTTGATATGTTTTTTAACAAATAATTAAGAGAGACAGTTAAAAGATATTCATGAAACCTGCATGCATGATGGGGGTAGCCGTAAGGTGGGAACAAGGTAAAATTAAATGAAAACGCTAGCTGGATCCCATTCTGTCTACATCCCAACAAACAAAATAGTGGCCCAGTAGCGGAGAAGGAGAGGTATGGCTGTGCCTGCCTGTATCAAGGGTTTCCCTGTGTGCTGCTACCAAGGCATGTACATTTCTTCCTGGCACTGTAAGGAATGATCTTCTCCCACTCCTAAAAAGTTTCTCCGTGTATATGTGTTGTTCTCACCTTCTCTGGCTCATTCTCAATCACAGCCAGCGAGGAGTCATGGGAAGTGCAAAAGCTTTGGCCAGAAGTCCAGTTCCTTCCTCCATCTGAGAAAAAATAGCATTTCCCTTCGTAGCCAATCCAGCCAGATGGGCATGCCGGACCGCAGGGGGCAGGGACCTCCGTGTCAGAGCACTGCTGTGGAGCTTCCTTGACTAAGAATGGAAGTGAGGGTAAGACATTCTTTGAACAATGATCCACAAAAACAGGCAAACAGATCAAGTAGATCTCACTACCATCTCAAAGCTCTCCCAAAGAGATGCCCGCCCAATCTTCACTTGAAAATCCTCAGGAGGTTTCACAGTTCCCCAAGGAGTTTGTTCTGTGGCTGAACTGGACTGCCTCAACAGCGGAAGGAATACTCACAGAGATGGGATCAGCCTTTCAAATAAGCACAACAAAAGTACTACCCACTTGCCAGTGTGTATCTGAGTTTATCTGTGCAAATCCAGCAATTACACACAGGCATAGAGTAGGCTTTCTAGACTAATCTCTGTGTAGATTTGTATATTAAGGCCTCTAATATACAATCAATCAAACCTGGCCTTCTCTCTCTCTCTTTTCCCCAACCCAATTTTGCTTGTGCAGCTTCCTAAGTGTAGCCTGCTTCAAGTCAAACTAGGTGCTACAGAGATCACAGTGTCATTAACCAAAATGGTATGCATTTGTTTTTTACTTTAAGGTGCTAATAACATCACAGGGACCCGTTATGTCCATCAGTGAAATGATGCAGAGGTGGAAGATTTAAATGCCCCTCTTTTCATGGCCCAGTTCAAGATTACAGGGCTGTAATTTGCTTTTAAAGGATTAATGGAGATCTACGAAGTCCATCACATTGGGTTTGATCTGCGAAGGAAGGCAATGCAGCCATGGAAATAAACAAAATGGACAGGAGGTATGATTGCCAGTTCTGGGTCTGGAGATTTCTGGTGATTTTTTTTTTTTGGGGGGGGGGAGCCTAGGAAGAGCAGGGTTTGGGGAGGAGAAGGACGTCTGCAGGACATAACATCCTACAGTCCACCTGCCAAAGTAGCCACTTTATCCAGAAGAACTGATCTCTATAGTCTGGAGATTAGTTGTAATTCCAGGAGATCTCCAGGCCCCAACTGGAGGGGAAGGAAGAGATGGGCAGCAAGGGAGAAAGGCTATGACAATTTAAGCACATCAGAAAAAGGAAAATCATGAACAGAAAGATCAGAAAGATGGGGCATGACAAGGTCAAAAGCAGTCACTGAACAAAACCATGAAGAAGCTATCTAATTTTCCCCATCTCCTTCTTCCAAAGAGCTCAGAGCAGTACACGTGACTCTCCCCCTCATTACCTGTGAAGTAGGTGAGGGTCTACTCGGAACCTATTCTTGGTGGCTGAACTACACAGGATGGCCTTTTGCAGGAGGAATGAGCAAAAAGAAAAAAATTGGAGTCTGTCTTAAATCTATTAATATTATTGGCTAGTCCATTCAGTATTTGTTCACATTAGCTTTAACAAGAAACACATTGCTGGGTGTAACTCCTTTGTTTCTCACCCCTATGGTTCAAATTTTCAGGGACTGTACCCCTCAGCTAAGGGGTGCTTCCTACCAAACTTCAGGCAAGTAGCCGAAAATGTCCCCATTTTACAGGCCACCTGATTTCTTCCTTTATAACCAGGCAGCGGACCAGCACAGGCACTGATCCCAAACTCATGTTACATTTGAGCTCCATTTCAGATCTCGCTCAGCTTTCCTGGGGAATCTCTTGCAGGAACCCCCTTTCTGTGCCTCTGTTCCCAGTGCCTGTAAGGTGGCAGACACTATAACTGAACTGCCCTGAAGGAGCCTTTGATGATAAGCATGCAGCATTCCTTACCTAGGAGGAAGTGGCAAAAAAAAAAAAAAAAATCCCCACTGTCAACACAACTGCGTCCCTCACATGGTCAACTTGGCCTTTGCTGAGTTCACCTCTTCTCCATCTGCAGTGCAGATTCGGCCTAACCACTGAGTAGCACAACACGATGAGAGACACAGAACAAGCATATCAGGTCTGTAGCACCAAAACATCACATAGCCAAACTCAGCGGACCCAGCCACACACCACATGCAAATACATGCAACAAAATCCTGGCAACTATATCTTGCAAGGAAAAACTAGCTTCAGGAGGAAGGGGGTGTACTTGTGGGCATTTCTGTTACATCTGTTTGCTTCTAACATGCAATGCAGCCCAGAGATTAAGGAGAAGACAGGAACACAGAACTTGGGAGTCAGAGGCAGTAGCTTTGACTCCTTCACTCAAGTCCAGTTTATCCACAATATCATGGGAAATATTCATGAGAACATAAGAGCAACCCTCATGGATCAGATCAGTGGTCCAGCATCTAGTTCCACACAATAACCAACTGGAGGGCTACAATCAGGACATAAACCCCAGGCCTCAGTGTGTCTTTCCCCACTCCAACCCAGGCCTTTCCCCATGCAGCCTCAGTAAGCATCTGAATGCAGACACCATGTGCAAGGGAGAATCTTGTGGAGTACAGGAAACCACAGCTGCCCCCTCCCATCTGATTTCTTGATTCTGATGCTTATCAGAGTGAAGAAGCCAAAGAGAAACAGTTCTTGGACTGCTCTGAGGATGAACTTGGCATTAGGAGCCAAACTGTAGGAGCCAAAGAAAGAAAGACATTGCTGTGAATCACACAGAAGAAGAAGAAGAAGAGATTGGATTTATACCCCACCCTTCACTACTCAAAGGTGTCTCAGAGCAGCTTACAAACTCCTTTCCCTTCCCCTCCCCACAACAGACACCCTGTGAGGTGGGTGGGGCTGAGAGAGCTCTTGACAGAAACTGCTCTTTTTCAAGAACAGCTCTTATCAGAACTACAGCTTGCCCAAGGTCATCCAGCCAGGTGCAAGTGGAGGAGTGGGGAATCAAACCCGGTTATCCCGAATAGAGTCCGCGCACTTAACCACTACACCAAACACAGAGCCAAAGACTGAGAATGAAGTCAGAAGACTCACCTGGTGACTTACAAAGAAGAACGAAGAGGAGGACAAGGATGACCAGGGATAAGATGGCAGTGGAAACAAGTAAGGCTACTACCCGTGGAGAAGATCTGCAGCAACTGTTCTTGAAACTCCCTGGAAGGAAACAAGGCACAAAAACAATGCTTGAGTCTGGCAGTGATGCTTGGAGGGAAGGAAGGAGAATGTGAAAGTGATGTGTTTCTACTCTGGGCACATGAACAAATCTTCTAACTAGTAGAAGCTTTGTCCATGGCTATGATATTGGTTGCTAAAGCTTGTGTGTACTGTATTTAAGCAGAGAGTGTGTATCAGCCAGTCCAAATTCTGCAGCCTTACATACAGTATGCAATTTAAGAAAATATGCATGTGCCCAGTAATTTATATGGTAAGGAATACTCTGCGTGAGGAGACCCAGAACACTGGTGGATTAACACAAGTTAAAAATATCAGCCCCCCCCCCCAACACAGCATGTTAAAAATATCAACCACCCCCCTGCTTTTTTGCCATCAAGTCATAGTTGACTTATGGAGAGCCCATAGGGTTTTCAAGGCAAGAGACATCGAGAGGCGGTTTGCCGTTGCCTGCCTCTGTGTAGCAACCATGGACTTGAAACTATTGAAAAACAAAAACTATTGAGGCAGACTCTCTCACTAACCTGTTAGTGTTCTTTGAGGGAGTGAACAAACATGTGGATAAGGGGGACCCAATAGATGCTGTTTACCTTGACTTCCAGAAAGCTTTTGATAAAGTTCCTCATCAAAGGCTCCTAAGTAAGCTCAATAGTCACGGGATAAAAGGACAAGTCCTCTTGTGGATCAAAAACTGGCTAATTAATAGGAAACAGAGAGCGAGTATAAATGGGCAATTTTCTCAGTGGAGTGTGGTAAGCAGTGGGGTACCGCAGGGATCAGTACTGGGTCTGATGCTTTTTAACTTGTTTATTAATGATTTGGAGTTGGGAGTAAGCAGTGAAGTGGCTAAATTTGCAGATGACATGAAGTTGTTCAGGGTGGTGAGAGCCAGGGAGGATTGTGAGTTACTCCAAAGGGATCTGTCGAGGATGGACAAGTGAGCATCAACGTGTCAAATGGGGTTCAATGTGGCCAAGTGCAGAGTGATGCACATTGGAACCATAAATCCTAACTATAAAAACACGTTGATGGGGTATGAACTGGCACAGACTGACCAAGAGAGAGATCTTGGAGTCATAGTAGAT